TGTGTATTTTATTACAATAAAAAAAAATCAGGGGAGCTATATGCCATGGCACATGCCTATAATGCCAGCCACTCAAGAGGCTGAGGCAGAAGGATCACAAGTTTGAGGCCAGCCTCAGCAACTTAGCAAGACCCTCAGCAACATAGCAAAAACCTTGTTTAAAAATAAAAAATGAAAATGACTAAGGATGTGGCTTATTAGTGTCAGAGCACCCCTGGGTTTAATCCCTGGTACCAAAACAAACAACAAACAACAACAATAAATGTATTGGGGGGAAAAAGAAATCTACATTGTCCCATGAATCCCCTTCTATTTGGGGGGTCAGCTCGGTCAAGCCTTTCAGGCACCGCTGCTTCTCAGCTACTTTGCCTGGGAAGTACAGGGCATCCACTGAGGTAAAAACCTCAGAACTCTGAGGGGAGAGTGTCTCCAGATGGAGTAGTGGAGGAGGTTGGGGAAAAGACTGCTCTAGGCCTGTGGCATCCTAAGAGCATCCTAAGGTAAACCTCCACAGTGAAACAAGCAAATCTGTGGGTCACAGCATGAATGTTCCTTCCTATTTCATGGCTGCACAGTGGCTGTAGTTAGGAGCTTCAAGGTGACCTTGAATTGGAAGTGATTTGCGCTGGCCTTAGGAGGAGGAGGTCACATGGGATGAATTCCCAGAGTCTTGGCTGATATAGCTCTGGCTGAGGGAGGTGACAGCCCCTGCCCACTAAGAGTGTCATGAACATGGAACAGTAGGGAAAGGGAGGGGGAAGGACTCAGGGTCCAGAGCTGCTTGTGTGTGTTGGGTTAAGAACAATGGCAGAGGCTGAGCCTGGTGGCACACATCTGTAATCCCCGCTACTCAGGGGGCTGAAGCAGGAGGATCATAAATTGAAAGCCAGTCTGGGCAATTTAGGGAGGCCTTTGTCTGAAAGAAAAAATAGGGCTGGGGACATAGCTCAGTTGTAGAGCACCTTGGTTTCAATCCCCAGTGCACCTCCCACTCCATACAACTGAAAGCCATTTTATTAGCTTTGGAAGTCATAACAAATACCATATTCTAGCTTAAAATGCAGATATTTATTTCCTTTCCAGTTAAGAGACCAGAAGCCCAAGATCTTATAGATGTCTTCTTGCTGTGTCCTCACATGGTTATTTCTCTGTGCACCTGCAGAGAGAGTGAGATCTTGGGGTGTCTACTCCGCTATCTATAGGAACATTAATCCTATTGGATCAGGGCTCCACCTTTATGACCTCACTTAACCTAAATTAACTTCTTAGAGACCTGTCTCCAAATATAGTTAATTTGAGGGTGAGGGCTTTAACATATTAATTGGGGAAGGGAAGGATACACAGTTCAGTCTCCAACAGCTTTGGAGAGATGGAGCCTAAAAACACCAGTGGGCAGGAAGGAGCCTGGGGAGGGTATGAGCAATGCCAGCCAGACCTAAAAGGAACTGGTGTAATCCCACAACCGAGGTGACCCTGCTAGGAGGTGTGTTTTGAGGAGTTGACCTGGGAGAGTGTAAGCTCAAACAGGTCAGCCTCCCCAGGGTGGACGGGGCTCCTGCAGTGTTCACCCATAGCTGGGAGTTCCAGCAGCCTTTCCTTAGCCCTCAGCAGCTGAAAGAGTCTGGTGTGAGAAACCCAGCTCCGGAATGTTTATCTAACAGAACACAAAGATCTTAGATTCTTTAGCTTGTTCCAAATAACCTCTGTTATTCCCCCTTTAACATTTAAAATTTTGTTTTCAAAAAGTAGAGCAGGCAGTAATTCCCCCTCTCCACATTGTTTTCTCCTCCAGCTAGCCCCCTTTTGTTCTGGAGCCCAGAAGCAGCAGTGAGAGCTTAGGCTCAGTGGGGTGCTGGGTGGCCATGGATGGGAGTCAGGAGAGTGAAACCTGGGGAGGGGGCTAGTCGACCCCAGTAAGGCAGCACGTGTCATCTAATTTTAATTGCAGCTCTTTCAAAATGAGCAGTTGTAGCACATGCCCCCCCACCCCCCGCAATGACTTTAGATCTCCCATGTCTGCCCCCTGGAGCTGTGCTGTGGGGTTTGGAGTTCTACCTGACCATGGTCATTTGAGCCTCTGGGGGAGCAATGCATCTGGGTGGCTCAGGCTCTCTTGTATCCATCATTCTGGAACCTCTTCTGGTGGCTGCTGAACCAGCCAACAGCTACTTGGGGACCTGAACTTGTTTTGGCTCCATTCCCAGGTCCCTTCTTTCGATGAGAATCACACTTGAATACACACGACCTTATTGTGAGACTCATGTTTTGACAGTCACTGAAAGCTCTGGGAATGTTTCTGGTCAGGCCCTACCCAGTTCCTGCCCACTTCTGTCCATGGGAGAGGAATGGGAAAATTGTTGGTATGTGGACTGTGTCCTCAGGAGAACTGAAGGCCCCTCTGCTGTAGTTGCAGAAGTGGCCAGAGAAGGCCTTTGTTGGAATTCATTGCCATGTGACACTGATCCAGCTGCAGGGTCTAGGGATCTTGGCACCATTTTAACCCTTAACAGCTGGTCCTCTTTTTAATCTGGTCATATTTGAGAGATTGAATAAGGACCTGTCTTCCAAGAATCCATTTAAGTGCATGCTTATCTTTGTCATATCACTGGCTGGTCTTTTTGTAAGAACTGGGGTGATGCAGGGTTCTGCCTGGTAGCTGACCCATCTCTTGGCAGCTCTCTCATTCCAGTTAGGACAACTGGGCTCCAATACCCTCGATCCCGGATCTGACAGTTCTCCCCCTCTTCTGGGAGTGAACCTTCTCCAGTCCCAGTTCTGCCCACTGACCTGTGGCCACTGCTCCAGAGAAAGCTATTTGGGCCTCTTCAAGGGCTGTCACCCCCCTCCCATTTCTCAAATGTTTATCTTTCCAGAAGTATTTGGGACTTCCCATTATTAGACTATAAATGCTTCCTTTAAAAGCAAGCAAAGCTTTCTTTTATGGGTGGGTATAAAAATCCTAAGATTTCTATATGAAATCCTGCCTTCCCTTTATTCAGATAGGGCACGTTGCCAGGATTCTCAGCCCATTGGCCTGGGCCCACCCACATCAGCATAGTCACATCCAGGCCAGGGCTGGTGATTGAAGTCTGACCCCATATGATCTGCTCAAGCAGAAAAGTGGCAAGCTTGAGGTCAAGGAGTGTGAAGACAGAGATCCCTGTCTCTTCATGGACTAACTCTGGGATGCCGAATAGGGTTGGGTTCTTTGAGGGCCATGGTTTCCCCATCTATCAAGTAAACAGACTGGATTATGAGGACTTGAGAGCTCTTCAAGGTGTTCATGACCTCAGTGAATGGTCCTACTTCCTAGGCCATGCCACTGGCCTGTGCTTGGCTAGACCTGGCTCCCACTCTCAGCTTCTGGTGAGAGGCACAGAAAGGTTTTGTGCATGTGTGTGTTTTCTGAGGAGATAGGGCACATTTAGGGTGTTATAGCCATAGACTGTGTTTTCAAACAGGACCAGGCAGGTAGGGAAGAGGTGCGAACTGTAACCCTTTAGGGGCTAGGTACTCAGTGGCAGCCCTTTCTGGTGAACAGACATCAGGTTGGGCAGAACGGCCTAATGTATAGGCAGCTTTATCAGTGAATGTTGACCCAATATCAACCCTTATGCTTGTGGGGTGGGAACAGCATTGCTAAAATTTTGGAGCACCCAAGTGTGGAGGTACAGCTTTGTCCAACCTTCAGTATGACCTCTGCCAGATCACCAGTGGGCCAGTGAAGGGAGACCAGTCTCTCCCCAGGACACTTCTACAACCTTCCATCGTCAGTGATGGTAATGCTGCATGCACTGCAGGCAGGAGACCATGTAACATCCCTCTCTAGCCTTCCAAAAGAGCTAACTACACAGCTGAGGAGGAGATGGGGAGGCTGAGAAGACTCTGGGCTCACCCACCCTTCAGCTCTCTCCTTGGCCATCTGTAGTCTTTGCCAGGTGAGTTGCTCTTGCCTGGGGAACCTCAGGGTGATCTAATGTAGGCTCTGCCCTGAGGGAAACCAGACGGCAGAGTGGATGTGACCCAGCCACAATCATGATAGAACCCATGCTGCACGCCTGTTTCCACCCTGGGTCCAACTTCTCTGGGCAGGCTTTGGAGAGCAAGGCCGGAGGTGACCATGTCCTATTTGTAGGCAATAGAAAGGCCAGGCCTGCCAGCACTAACACGGCAGTCCCAGCAGAAACCACTGAGGCTGAGGAGTTCACACCAGGGCCCAGGCTGTGAGAGACTAGAGCCCTCCCTCTTCCTGGACCCAGTATGAAAAAGGAGCACTAACCAGCTGCCCAGTCAGCCATTTGTTTCACTTGCAGGGTCGTGACTACTTCTCCCAAGTGGCTTCTCTTCCTCCCCTCAGCCAACAGCATGGTCCCTGCCCAAACCACAGTCCCATGTTTGCAGGGTCATGGTTGCTGCTCCTTGTGTCCTAAGACTGTCTGGCTGTGCCTGCTGGTGACTGCCCAAACCCCATCAGGCCTGGCTTTCCCACAGCAGGGAGTGCTGACCTCCTCCCATATTGGTGGCCTCCCCAACAGTGGGGCCTCCATACACTCAAACCTCCTCCGCACCTGCCAGGAAGCTCTGCTGTACTCCCCAACCCCCAGGCCAGAAGCTCAGGGATTTCTCCCAGAGGCACCAATTGTTGTTGTTGTTTTAAATCCGGAAAACACCACTAATTCGAGTAGTCTCAGGTAACTTTAATGAAAGTGTCAGCAATCCTTTCCCCCCACAGTGGCATACAGATGGCTGAGCTCAAAAGCAGGATCACAGCTGCCAGGAGACCAGCCACTCAGCAGGGAGAAGGCCAGGCTACAGACAGGAAGCCAAGCTACCTGCTCCCAGGACCCAGGCCCTGAGGCAAGAAAGCATCACTTTTTGCTTTAGAGACCTGCAGCCATATCTTGTGGACAGTTGCATTGGGCTCTGGGCCTTTGCTTGCTTTGTAGGGGGAAGGCCAAATCCCCTGACTCCTGGGGAACACCATATTTTTTTTCCAGCCCCACACTGGCTTAGCCAGCCAGCCCACAGGCCTGTGAGGCATGAGATAGAGTAATGGAGGCAGTTCCGGCTCTCAAACCACCAAGGCTCTTGTGGCCTGGCCGTGGGGGAGCACTTTTACAACTACACGAGAAAGAGTGGTCATTCCATTGTTAAACAGCACACATCCTATATAAATAAAAAGTATAAAGAGGAAGGAATCTGGTGAAGGAAAGAGAATTGGCACAGACGATATATTGCTTTCCAGTTTCAAGGCGACAGATGCAAATCATGAGACACCAGAGGGAGTAGGTAGACACAAGGGCTGGGTTTGGCTTTTTTTAAGCAAAACCTGTCTCCCTTGCAGGGCTGGAGGGTAGCTGAGAGGGATGGGGATGGGCAGCCAGGTCAGAGGAGCCCACTGGGTCCAGAAATGTGCTGAGACAGAGGCTGATTTTGTCCACACCACCCGGGAAGGCGGCTCTGCTCTCTGTGAGAAAAAAAAAAGCACAACTAAACATTGTATAGTCGAGAAACTTTAAGTGACTTTGTTTTCTGCCCTCTGCTTTGGCAGGTTCAGAAGCAGAGGAAACAGTAGGAGACGCATCGCCCCTGGTGTCAGGGGTCTCCCTCATGTAGTGGGCTTGGCAGGATTTGCTCATCAACACCTTTCCCCTCCCCAGATGTGGGAAGGGTAATGGGACAGTGTCCTACTGGTATTAATGTCCTCTTGTGACAACCAACAGACATTTTCCTGAGTCATGCCGTTTCCCTCCTCTGATTAGCAGCATCCCCTTCTCCTGCAAGAGCAGCATAGAAACTGGACCTCTGTTTCCTTTCAGCCCCACTTTTAAAAAAGTGATACAAACTGTTCATGGGTTTACCTTCTTCAAACAAGTTCATGGCCTCCCGGATTCTCTTTTCTCTAAGCCTGATGCTCAGGGAGAGTTAGAGAGCTGTTCAGGCTCCTTCTGCAAAGATGCAGGGAACATGAGGAGGGAGTGCAGCAGGCAGGCCTTTCCTCCCACCTACTTTGGGATGGGAACCCCCATCCCATGCTTGGCCTTTTCCTAACCCATCATATCCTGATATGCTTGAGATGTCAGAATAAGAAAATGGAACTAGAGCTTAGAGGAAGACAAAATGCTGCCGGGACACAGACTGTCCACGGAGTACATTCTAATATCTTATTAGGTATCTGAATCTGGTAGGAAAAAAATTAGAAACTATGTATAAAACTTAAAAATATTCAAGTATCAAAAAGCTATTTTGGATCAAAGTTTTAAAACAAGCTACCAGCCAGCTGCTGCTGCTGAGAAGAAATTTTTACAAAAGTTAACTGAGTCTGTTCAGTTGAGCCAGGAAATGAAGCCATCTGTGTAGAGGTTGAGAGTGCAGACAGTGAAGCCAGAGAAATCAGGGCCCTTTTAAACTGAAAAGGAGAGTGAGAGCCAGGTGGGCGGTCAGGATAGGTAGGCATGGTCACTCTCCCTGGAGAAGGAATCATAAGGTGTGTGGCCTGGACCTCCCTCCCCCAGTGTCTGGTCCCTGCACATTTCATGGCTGCAGGTGGACTGCCTTCAGAGGAATGCACAAATAGCAAAAAATAAAGCAACAGGAAAGAGCAGAAAGCTGACCCATTTCTGGACAGAAATCCTTCTACAAAGAAAAAGAAGCAGGGAGTGAATGGAGGCATGACACTACACAGTGTTGAATTAGCTTCTCAAGTCCTGTTACAAATGGAGTCTAAGTTAGGGAAATCGAAACGCCCCTACCCATACAGGGACAGGGCTGTGGCCCCCACAGTATAAAGCAGCAGCAGTGTTTATTCAAGACACAATAATGAAGGAATCTGGTGGTGTTCCCTTCTCCCTGGAGAGGGTGCATCTTGACAAGTGATCCAGTAGAAATCTTTTAAACTCTGATAAATTAAGTTCATAAAAACCACTCCGCCTTCTCTCCCTGGAGCCAGGCCTGCACGCCAAGACGTGCTAGCTTGGGGCGCCCTCTGGTGGCGGCACGGAAAAACCACAGTCCAAGGCCAGACGTGTTTGCAGACCAACGGGGATCTGTGCCAGCCACCTGGCCTTCTACTTTGGGTACTATCTCTTGGCAGATGGCCTGGCTCTTGGGAATGGCCCAGTTACACCTCATGAAGGTTCGGTTCCCACTCTTCAGATGGCCCGTTTCACCACAGGTTCCCAGGCTGTTCTGTTGGCTTCTTGAGATGATGTTGGGCCTTTAGACTTCAGTGGAAAATAAGATGCTCTGTCTCTTACTGTCTGGGGCAGGTATGGCCTCCAGCTGCAGGAAGTACAACAGCACCTGGACCTGCCCAAGAAGAGGAGGGGGAAGAAAGTGGCTCAGAAGGTCACTCACTGCTACAGATAGGAAGATTTCTTGGCCCAAGCCCACAAGATCAGCTCAGGTGACATGAGCCCCTCACAGCAAGATACCTGGAATGAGGTTCCTAATGCCATATGATGTGGGACTGTTTTAAGACTCAGGTCGAGTCTTAAAACAGGAGGACCAGGGGGTGGGCTTGGTTCTATGAAGTCCAGCACAGCACAGAAGTAGACACAGCAGCTGAGACTCTCCCTTCCCCCCTCAGCCATATGGGCTTAGGCAAGACCCTCTCTCTGACTCTTGGTCTATACAATGGAGGTGGGAATAGCTGCTAGAATTTATGGTGGGACAGTTAGAGGCCACCTTGGTCAGGCCAGGTAGCATGGGCTGGAGCTCATCTCCCCATACCTGGGACATGACCTCCAAGGACCAGCTGTCAGTCATGGTAATGGGCTGGCTGGGGTTGGCAGGGAGCTTGCTCTCTTTCTCTGAGGGCCGGAGCAGTGTAGGACCAAACACTGTAGCGAGGTTGTGCAGGGACATCTTGTTCACGGTCTCCTTTTCAGCCACTCTGTAGAAGGACATAGTAAAGGGTGCTGTTTGACACCATCTTTGACAGAGAGGTAAAGGGGTTGGGTCCTAGAACCCTCAGGGAACATGGCAGCAGGCAAGACCCCTTGCTGCCTTGTGCTGGTTCCACAGCACAATCATCTGGGGAGGGAGGGACCTCAACCTGATTGTGCTAAAAGCAGACTCCACCCCAGGACTTCTAGGTCTGAGGGGCCTAAGGAAAAGAGCACCCATGGCCAGAGGGCAGCTGGGCCAGATCTGGGACATGATTTGGGTGACTGCAGGGTCCAAGTACACTGCTGGCTGTGGCTGAGGCACGTTGCTTTTCATTGAAGGCCATGATGCAGAGGGAAGAAGTCTCCAGGGAGTGGGGGTGAGTAACAGGGGTGGCAAGAAAAGACCTTTGGTCCCAGGGGATACTCCCACCCTGCTTCCTGGGGTCTTGGAACACTAGACCCCTATAGAAGACCCAGGGATACCTTTTCAGGTGGTCTAGAAGGAAGAGGAATGTCAGCAGGTTGGCTTCTGGGAGGGACAGCAGCAAATTGAGCATGCAGCTCTCCTTTGCAACAGGATCTGAAAGAGCTGTACAGTAGGGCAGGGATTACTTCTCAGGGTCATAACCATGGCCTGGACACTTCTCTCAAGGTTGGTCAGATGGGATACTCAGGGCCTGTGTTCAAAGGTGCTCAACAGTCCAAGCCAGTTGTCATCCTCACTCACACAGCATAGTCCCCCAGTGAGGATGCTGTGATGGGTGTCTATGTGGGGGTGTGAGTTATCCTAAATGCATTCTGTCTCAAAGGGACAAACAGTATCCTATGCACCAGCAGCAAGAGGTACCATAAGAGGAACTGCTTATGGCCAGTGCTTCCTTGGGGCCACTTTCTGCTGCTACAGCATTCTAGGAAGAGCCCTGGCATGGAATAAAGTGGGTAGAGTGGGGGATGAGGAGGGATACATAGCCCCAGCCCCACCAAACCCTGGGAGGCTTTCTCATTGCCCTGTACATAGGGGACACTTTCAGTTCAGAGAGACCAGGTCCTTTGCTGAATGGGCCGTGGTAGGCATACTCGTTCTAGGGTCATGTGGAGACTGCCTCTGCCTCAGATGCTAGTCCCTGCCCTTTGGATATCTCCCTCCAGGTTGACTTAGGGTAAAGGCTGAGCTGGAAACCTCTGCCTGACTGGGCTACAACAGGGTTAAAGGGGTAGGGTAYTACCTAGCCTGGGAAGCAACATTCAACCCTGGTCTAAAGAAAGGAAAGTCTGTGGCATGTTCAAGGCAGTGCTAGCTGCTTCATCCTCTCAGTTTACTGTAAGGATTGGGACAGCAGGCGGCCCTCTCAGCATGGGTAAAGGCCCATGCAGTCAGATTTCTCTGGTCAGGGTGAAGCGTGGATCATAGCAGAAAGGCACAGCTCAGGCCCCTGCAAGGGTGGCAGTGGACAGGAAGGGAAGCTGCCTCTTGTGAGGCCTTCCGTGCTTACCAATGCCCTCAGCAAAGTTGGGGTAGAATTCATCAGTGAAGAGGGGCTCAGGCAGCTCACGGAAATAAAGCTTCAGCGTGCCTGCGATGGCATTCACATCCATTTCACTCATCATCACTGATACATCCTTGTTATCTAGAAAGAACAGAGAAATGGAGAACCTCTACGTGGATGCCGAGTCAGGTTTTCTGCAATCCCCATCTTGGCTAACTATCCTTGCGATGCTGAATGCTGCCTAGGTCCCTCCTTTTTGAGTGGTTCATCTTATTATTCCCCAGCATCTGCATGGTTCTGGGTGTGCAGGGTTTGCAAGGGAAGTGAGTACATCCCCAGAACGCTCCCCTGTTCGGCAAGGTGTAGCCCAGGGGTGGAGCCAGACGCACGTGGCCAGGAGAGGCAGCAAGGCCAGTGGAGAACATGGCACCTGAGCAAGAATCAGGCTGCTCTGCCCTGTATGTACCCAGGCACTGGCATCTTCCACTAATAAGGAGGCACTGGGATTACTTGAATCATTTTAGTATTTAAATAGGTGCCTTGCTTTGGGGTTGGATGGCCACTGGTCTTCCACACCACAGGTGAGGTCCACTCTGGTTCCGAGAGGGAACTGGCACCACAGCAGGATCCAGCTGGAACTGCTAGTACCTCAAGGGCTCCAAGTCAGGATAAGCGGTATGTGCCCTGTGGAGAGCCTGTAGCCAGAGTCCTGTTGAGTCCTAGGTCTTCTGTAATTTCTCCTTTGAGAATACTGATCAAGGACCCTCTGGGGTATGAATTTTCTAGCCTGGCAACTGGGGCAATTCTTCCTTCCTTGTAGCATGTGAGGGTGGTTAAACAGGAGGAGACACCATAGTACCAGCAGGAGCTGGGTCATATCCATATCCCATGGCATCCTTAAACAGGCCATGGTCATACCACACTGACTGAGCGACTTCAACACCCCCTGTCCACTCCAATGGCAGCAATCTAACTCCCATGGAAACACCTGGTCCAACCTGTGTGTCTAGGATGGGTATTGAATAGGCTGTTGCTGCTTCTTTCTCTCCCGGCCCCCTTTTCAAGTCAAGGTTTTCCTATGTTGCCCAGGCTGGCCTCAAATTCCTGGGTTCAAGTGATCCTCCTGCCTCAACTGTGGGTACCTGCCATTGTGTCTGGCTTGTCTCATATTTGTAAATAATGAAGTAATAAATAAAGAAAAGGTACAGAGAATGATGTGACAGGCAACAGGTTGTCGACCAGTCATACTTCCATCCCACGCTGCCCAGATGACACTCACTGACGTCAAAGGCTGCCTTCAGCGCCTGGATATCTGTGGCCACTCCAGACACACGGTAGATGCCCACCTCCTCCATGCCCCGGCGTTCAATCTCCTCCACACACTGGCGCACGATGTAGGGCACTTTGGACCTCTCTCTCCTGTGAGGGAAGAGGAAACATCTTTAGTGCCCAGACAGCTCTGTCACCTATCAGCCTACCCAGAAACAGGGGTGAGGAAGGTGCCCAGGTTTGGGACTGCACAGAGAGCCTGTGTGTGCTTTCCTTACACTCTATGAGCTTCCAGTTATCACTGGGATTTCCTAAGGGCATGAAGCAGCTGAACACTTGCAARTTATATGTAATTTTGGGGGAAGATCCGGAGACATTCTTACCTTCTTCCTTTTTTGGGGGGTGGGGTGTGTGTGTGTGTGGTGTTGGGGATTGAACCCAGAGCCTTTAAACATGATAGGGAAATGCTCTGCCACTGAGCTACACCTCTAGCTCCAGGAGGTTTTTCTAAGTGAAGATGGCCACAGGAAGTGCTGTTAAAAGATCACAGGCCTGGGGCTGGACTTGTGGCTCAGTGGTAAAGTGTTTGCCTAGCATGTGTGAGGCACTGGGTTCAATCCCCAATACCACATAAAAATAAATAAATAAACCAAAAAAAAATTTTTAAAAATGACACCATTAAAAAAAAGATCACAGGCCTTATAATAACAAGTGATCTTATGGTGTCCTGGAAAGCAGGCTTATCATCTGAAATGGGCAATCACAACTGGTCTCCATCCTGCCAACTGACTGCTATATGAAGTGAATCCTCTGGTCCCTCTATGTCTCCTTGAGAGATGAGCCCTACACGTGGCAAGCCCTCAACAAGCATCTATTGAATGAATGACTCCACAGGGTTGCCTAGGCATCTGGTAATTCTGACTGCTTTTCTCCTCTGACTCTAAGAAACAGATGATTCTAGTATCTCCATCTATGTAGGACTCTGGAGCAAGAATACTTCAAAGACAGAAGTCAGCCTTAACTTCAGTCTTGTTTTGCAACTGGATTTAGGAGCACACCAAAACTCTTTCCCAAACCACCCAACAAGCTCTAAGCATGAAAAGAGAACCCCATCCTCAGCTCTCAGATAAGCACTTTCAGGCTCCTGTGTTGGGGGGGTGGTGGTTTAAGCTGAGGGCAGAGTTCTCGTCTACTCATGTCCAGAGCCTTCCAGAAGTGCCACAGGAACCGAAGTGGTATTTATTTATTTTATACTTTTGATACTGGAAATTCACCCCACAGGCACTTTAACCATTGTGCTCCATCCTTAGCCCTTTTTATTATTTTTTTAAAAATTTTAAGACAGAGTCTTAATAAGTTGCTGAGGCCGGCCTCAAACTTGCAACCCTTCTGCCTCGGTCTCCCAAGTCCCTGAGATTACAGGCCTATGACATTAGCAGGTATGRTATTTAGACATAAGTGCCTGGGGAATGAATGACACAAGCCCTGGCCAGTAAGGTCAGGGTCCAGCCTGATTCCATCCTGGGGAAGTGAATGAAATCTGGGAGGGAGTGGTCTGTATCCCCGAGAATTGCCCTGAAACTAACAAACAAGCCTGTCCTGCCAACTGACTAGTGACAAAGGGGTAGAGGTTACAATCATTCAACAGGAACCTGGGATCATGACAAATTCCAAGCGAGGGAAGCAAAATCCACACTTGGGCAGTTCCTGGAGTCTAGCAGGAGCCAGCAGACTGCTTCCAAAGGAAGGAGACAAGGACATTCCTGAGCTAGTTTTGCAGTAAACACAGGAGGTAGCTAAGTATACAGAATGTTCCCAGAGTCCTGGGAGGCCTCCCTGTGGAGAAATCATGCATAGAGGCGAGAGAACCATGCCTGCTCTTTCCTTCAGAAACTGAATTTCAGAGACACACTCTCGATGCAGGAGCCCACACCCATGCCACTCACTTGGTGACCACGGCAATCTTGACTCCAAACACCCCTGTTTGTTTGCGGGACGGCATTCTCTTCAAGCTGAATTCCCTGCTTGTGAACTTGACAGAAAGTTTCACTTCAATCTGCAAAGGGAAGAAAGAGCATAGTTCTCTTACTTCTTCTGGTCCCTGGGAGTCTCAACAAATCTTTGTACTCCCAGGGCAAGCAGCTCAAGGTTCTAGAGTAAGGTGAGGCCATCCTTGAGGCAAGAACCTGGTCCAGTTCAGCAAGAGCCACAAACAGTTTGGATGGTTTTAAGAAATGGCTTGTCCAGAATTTTCCCTAAAATCCCCATTGCTTCTTTTTCTTTTTAACGGAAGACTGAATCCAGGGGCACTTAGCCACAGAGTCACATCCCCAGCCCCATTTGTTTTTTTGAGACAAGGTCTTGCTAAGCCCAGCATGTTCAGAACCTGGGCTCTGACTGCATGTGTTCCAGCCACCAAATGAAAAAGATTCTTTCCTGGGAAAATGATTCTGCTCTGCAGTGGCCTCTCCCTCGCTAAAATTACCTAGGCTGACCTCAAACTTGTGATTCTCAGGCTTCAGCCTCCCAAGTTCCAGAGAGTTTATAGTTGTGCAGCACCATGCCCAACCTTTCTTTCTTTCTTAAGAACAATTTTAAAAAATAAGTGAATGGAGCTTGGCATGGTGGTACTTGCCTGCAATACCAGAACCTCAGGAGGCTTCAGGCAAGAGGACTGCCAGGTTCACTGCCAGCCTTAGCAATTTAGTAAGACTCTGTCTCAAAATAAAAATGTCTGGGGATGTAGCTCAGTGGTAGAGCACCCTGGGTTCAATCCCTGGTTCATCAAAATAATTAGTGAGTACTGGGGGTGTGGCTCAGTGGTAGAACACATTATTAACATGTGTGAGATCTGAGTTTCAATACCTAGCACCAATAAAAAGGTAAGAGACTAATATAACACTTTATCATCTATATGCCCAGGGCTTTTTTAGTGTGTGGTTTTGTTTTCACAGTGCTAAAACTGAGCCATATCCAAGCCCTGGGTGTTTTTTGTTTTCTTAACAGATTGAGCATACCTCATCTGAAAATCTGAAATGCTTCAAAATCTAAAAACTTTTTGGGCACTGACATGATGCCACAGTGGAAAATTCAACACCTGACCTCATGTTTTGTGGGTCAAAATACATAAAATTACCTTTAGGCTATGTGTGTAAGATGTAGAAAATATAAATGCATTTTGTGTTGGCTTTTCTCCTGTCCCCAAGATATTACATGCAAATATTTCAAAATCAGGAAAACAAAACAGATTCAAATTCGAAATGTTTCTTGTCTGGAGCATTTGGGATAGAAATACTCAACCTATACAAATCTTCCTGGGGTAGCTGAAGACTATCCAGGGACCTCGGCTGCTATAGAAAAATCCCAGGGCCCTGGGTTGAGGCTCCACTTGTCAAGAGTGGCACCATGAGGGCTGGGGATGTGGCTCAAGCGGTAGCGCGCTCTCCTGGCATGCGTGCGGCCCGAGTTCGATCCTCAGCGCCACATACAAAGAAAGATGTTGTGTCCGCCGAGAACTAAAAAATAAATATTAAAAAATTATCTCTCTCTCACTCTCTCTTTAAAAAAAAAAAAAAGTGGCACCATGAGATCTTTCAGGAGTATGCTCAGAACCTGGGCTCTGACTGCATGTATTCTAGCTACCAAATGGAAAAGATTCCTTCCTGGGCAAAATTACTCTGCTCTGCAGTGGCCTTTCCTTCTTTCAGCCACACTTTCTCTCAGATATGAGCTCAGAGTTAGCTTCCTTCTGATTGTTTTGGAAGGAATCAGGCCTCCTAACCTTCTGCGGGAAGTGTATGATGATAGAGCCCTGCTGATAACATACCCCATTCATGGCGATGACAGTCCGCTGCCAGTCTCTGTCCTGCAGGGCCTGGGGGTCCAGCTGAAATCAAAAGGACATGATTAACAGAGGCCTTTGGGTATGTTCAGAGGCCCTGCCCAGCAGTGACCCACACCTGCTACTGCTCCATATTTAAGTTAGAAGCACAGCCAAATTGTGACCAGCACCTCTATCGAGAGGCCCAGAGGGATCCAAAGAGAGGAGAGGACCTGTTAGAAAGCCCTGGAGCCTCAGGGTCCTACTACTCCCAGACCTTTGGGCCTGATCTTGCCTCTGGGTATGGGGGCAACAGCTCAGGATCCTGTACCCCCTCACCATAGGACTGCTGTGAGACACTCTGTGAAGGGCAAGTGGTTAGTATAAAGGACATTTTGGAAAGCCCAATTTCAGCAACTTTGAGGGACATGGCATCCAAGAGCTGCTGTCCTGGGGATGGTGGATACTGTTTTCTCCCTGTGCCATGGTTTGGCTTGTAATGGGAAAGGCTTCCAGGCCAGGATTGTCCTATGACTTAATTTAAGAGTCAGGCCCAGAAAAATTTAGAGCCCAGCCCCAAATCACACAGCAGGGACCAGAAGGAAGCCTTTCTAATAATTCTGATCTCCATAAGACACTGTCTAGCAGCTGGTCTGCAGGAACCTGCCACTTAATTTCACCTAAATAACAAAGTCTCTTGCCCAGGCCACCTGCCCCCCCATCCATGAAGTCTCTCTAGCTGCTTTTTGGTGAGCACATGCTCATATCAGCAGCTACTAAATACAGCCAAGGATACTGGCCTGGCAATAAGCAGCTCAGAGATTCTTGTTTAAAAAAAAAAAAAAAAAAAAGAAAGAAACAACAACAACAACAACAAAAATACTTTCCAGGGTTGGAGATATGGCTCAGTGGTAGGATGCTTGTCAGGCACAATAGGGGCCTGGGTTTAATTCCCAGAACTGCAAAACAAAAAGCATCACCCTGGGTTCTATCCCCAAAGGATTAGAGTCGTGTTCCCAGGTGAGACCTGGAATTTGCACAAGTAGAAACCTTCCCAGACTGGTTTGAAGCCAACACCCCAGAACATGGCACACATCATATATACACTTCCTATATGGTCTTCTGTTCTCAGTACCTGCTTCAGGTGATGGTTCATTTCTCCTACTAGGCAAGCCACTTAAGAGTAGGGACCACACTACAGCTCATGATTTCTGCACACATGCAAAAACACACTTGCATGCACACACACAACAGTGTTAAGCGCAGTGACCTGGGCCTTCTGCAGATGATACAGGTAGAAAACAAGGAGGGATTCAAGGGTAGGTCAAGGGGCTCAGCTGCCTCTACCACTCAGGTAGGTGCATCTGGGCCTCTCTCCCTGTATCACAGGCATTCCCAGGAAATGAGCCCTCCTCACCTTCCCTTGTGGATCCTTCTGGTTAACGTTTTCAAAAGATATGAAATGTATACCAGAATTACATAGAAAACCAAAGGGTGGCAGAATCCCTCCCTTAAGGGACTGTGTGGTCACAGGTTCCTACTCTGCATCTACCTGGGGAGGTTTTCAAAGGCCACATTCCAGACCATGGGGAACCTACTCTGAGAAGCAAGGTCTGTGAAGAGGGATCAGTTAATTATAAACCACCCAGAAAAAGAAATCCCCCTAGAGGTGCTCTCTCTCAAGACCAAACCTCAGGCCTCCAAGAGATGCAGAAGAGGGATGACATCAGGCCCTTCCCAGTTCTGGGAACAGCAGAGATGTCCCTCCATACCAGACCAGGTATGACTAGAAGAGACAAGGGATGTGTAGCTGCTGGCTGGTCACCCTAACTTCTGTCCTGGCTGCTCAAGAAAAGTGATGTGGTGCCCTTCTAAACCCAGAAGCAYGTTAAACAGGACAAATACCTCCCTTTCCCTTCAGGGAACAGCAACCAAGGGGTCCCTTGCCCTAAAAAAACAGCAGGATTGGCAAAAGCCATGGACAAGTAGCCCCGAGTTTGGAAAAGCAGAGGGGCAGAGGGAGCAGTTGTTTAAGACAAGCAGGTGACAGGGACCCTTTCCCTCCCAGCCGACTTGGAAACCAAAGCCCATTTGCTGGCCCACCTTGCCCCTGCACACCAGGTCTCGGATATGGGTCCACAGGGCAGTGCCTCGTGCATACAGGTGCTTTTCGGCAGAGGCTACCAGGCTCCGTCTTGCTCGGCGGGGGTGTAAGTACTGAAGGAGGCCCTGCATCGCAGCAGGGGCAGACAGTAATTCTCTCATCCTCAGCTCTGCTGCTCTGAGAGGTCCACAGGGGCTGGACAGAAGCACAGTGGCCAGCTCCCAGTCTCTGCTGCCTTTTAACCAGGCTCCAAGGGAAGCCCCACCCCCTGCCTGGCTGGCCAAGGTCGAAGCTTCCCATCACCCCTGCATTCCATTTTTTTGTTTGTGTATGGGAAAAACAACACCCACCCCCAACAGGAGCCTATTGGTTACGGGAATTCCAATGTGTCTTGCTCTCCTCTTCAGCCCAGAAAAGACAAGCTTCCTTCTCAAGTGGCTGTTTCCTGTAGTCTGGATTTGGAGACACTTAGTAACATGTGTGACTGGTCGTTCCATTTTAGGCTAGGAGTACCCTAGAGATTGCCCCAAGGCCTGCACACCCCCCACCTTACAACCCAATAATCACACATGCTACTTCCATTGAACCCAGGGCAAAAAACAACCTGCATGTGGTCCCTGCTCTCCTGAGCAAGCTAGCAGAGTGATGAGGGGTCCTACACAGGGTTCCAACTATTGTCCACTCCTGAACACTGACATCTAGCACCCATCCCTGTCTGGTCCTGATGTTGCTAGGCCAGTTCTTCACCAGATCTATCTGTAGCTTGACATGTTGGCCTCTGGGCATCCAGACCCTGTGGCAGCCCTAAATTAGTGGATCCAGCAGGAAAGGCCACCCTGAAGTTGGCTCTGCTCCAAAGAAGAGAGTGTGCTTAGCAGAGTAGAAGCCGCACAAAGAATAGCACAATGATGAGGCCTGGGCCTCAGAGAAGTCCAACTCCAAACAGCATTCAAGGCTGGCACACTCTCTCATGCAGTTATTTAAAGCAACAGAGAGAAAAAACAAGAGACTGGGATTTGGAAAAACTGATGATGGAAGAGAGAGGATTGGGAAACAGCAGTCACGGAAAAACTGAGGCACTCCGGATGCTGTTGTGGGTTCCCTCGGGAATGCACTTGATATTGAATGGGGACTAGTCAGATCACACCTGGTGGCCTTGATGGATGGTCTGGGTCACTGCTTGTCTCCTCAGGGGTTAGGCAAGGAGTCTCAGAAGAACACTGAATGGTGGGGCTGATGGACAGTTGCCCAGAGTCCTGCCAATAAAACTGTCCAGCATATCCGTCCCAGGAGGGTAAGGGGGATGGGGGAAGGCTCACGCCTAATTGGGGTGGGTACTAAATGAGGCCCTAAAGTACCCCAACTACTCTGCATCGTTGAGGGCCAAGTGCTGCCCTGCTTGCTCTGTAGTCTGTAATAGCCAGATGAGCCACCGAAGATGACCACAGGGCATGATCTCACTCACCCTAGCAGGGGGTTGGGCAGGGCATGACTCAATTGTCCAAAGAAGGAAATGTTTGTTCTCGCCTTACTTGCTTCCTCATAGACAATAGCTTCCTCTATACCACTGTTATGGACCCAGATGGTCCAGCAGGGCATCCCCAGTTACTCCTGTCTTCATGTATTTGCCTCATAACCCACTTACTCCCAGGGTCGGTCTTTGCAGAGATCACCAGAGAACCAATGTACTTGCTGGGAGAGAAATCAGGCCTCCTGCTATGGTACTCCCTACCCTGTTCTCCCAGTGACCCCAATCCGTTCTCTTGGGCTTTAGCACAGCATTTAGAGTCTTTGATTGCAGAGAGGCTCCAACATCACTTAAAAAAAAATAATAGGGCTAGAGGTGTATGGTAGAGCATGTACATAGCAAGCAGATCTTGGGCTTGATCTTTAGTACAAAAAAAAAAAAAAAAAGAGGGGGCAGCCCTACCCCCATGAATGGCTATAATAAAAAAAATGGGACAATAACCAGTGTAAATAGGATACGGTGAAATAAGAACCCTCATATATGGTCACTTGGGATGAAAAGGGTGCAGCCACTGAGGAAAAAGTAGGACAGTTTCCAAAAGTCAACTTGCTGCATGACCCACCAGTTCCATAGGTGTCTACCCAAGTACAGGAATACTCATCCACCCTAAGACTTCTACCTACAAGCATGTGTTCACGGCAACAACAACCAAAATAGCCCCAAAGCAGAAGTAACTCAAGTGTCCATCAACAGGTGAGTAGAAAAGCAGAGTCAGGGGACATATATATGTGGTGGAATGTTATTCAGCCATTACTGATAATGCTATGCATGGATGACCCTCAGAATAACTATGCTACATGGAAGGAACCACTTATGGTGTGATTTTGTTTATGGGAAATGTGCAGAATGAGCAAATCCCTATGGACAAAAAGTAGATCAACCTGATGCTCCTGTTAGAATCTGAGCTGTGAACCCAGTAAGACACACAAAAGACCAGGAGAAATGGAACAGCAGGGGACATGGGAGAAGACAAAATTCCATGGCTTGACACAAACCTACCCCCTAAGGAGAAGGAACAGGGATATGGGAGAAAACCTAGAAAATTCACAAATGGTAACAAAAGAAAGATGACTGAAGGAAGAAATTCCTAAAAGCTGTGAGGCTCCATGTGCCTTGGGTTTTGCTGACTCTGGCAACTCTAGATCCTGGTCTCAGCTCAGGATGTGCTGGGACACCTGACAGTAACTTTGGGCTGGTCTCAGAATTAGGATGCTAAGGACTTGTAAAGTCCTTCTCTGAAGACAGACTCAGTTCCCTCCTCTGTGCCCTCACTTTGCCCTGTAAAAAACGGTGCCATCTGAGCCACTGGTGGCCCCTGCAGCAGGGCCTGGCTCTTGGCACAACCACAATATCTTTCTTTTTGAGCCTCTCTGCTCCTGAACTGTGAAGCCTGGGTTCCCAGGACCCGGCACATCGGAGGTTCTCTACCATGAG